ACCATTACTTGTACATTCTCTGCTCCTAATTGTGTTATAAGTGGGTCACAGAGAAAATCCATCTGAACAGAGTGACATACTAGTACAGCAGCTCACTTTCCTTCGTTGGGCTCAGCCACTGCCCACGTGACCACAGTCTATGTCCGTGTACAGAGAGAGGCTGAAACTTTCCCAAGTACGCTGTTGAGCACACCACTCCTTCTGGTTGTACAGATGGGCACATCTTTCTGCCTGAAGGTCTGTTCTTGACTGAATGGAAAAACTTCGAAAGGCTTAAGGTGTACAATGTGATAGCATTGACCTGGGTCTCTAGCTCGGGGAAGCATGATACCTTGATCCGATCTGTAAAACATGGGAGCAAATTTTATTTATTCAGTCATTTAACTGTGTTGATATACGTACTGGTCCACTCAATGTAAGAAATGACCGTAGAGCTTCTATTGTGTAGTCATTTGAATTTACACATATACTTGATGGTTTAAGAAATACACACACAGCCCTGGCCAGGTGACCCAGTTGTTTGAATCATCGTTCCATACACCAAAAGGTTGTGGGTTTGATCTCCAGTTCAGGCATGTGTGGGAAACAACCGATTGATGTTTCTCTTTCCCATACTTCTCAATCTCTCTCAGGTCAATAAAAGTATCCTTGGGTGAGGATAAAACACACACACACACACACACACACACACACTTTCTTTGAAAAGTCAGTTGTTGAGGTGATGATGGTGGTAACATTCAAACAGCACACAAGGGTCCAGGATAAAAGTAACCATCCCAGACCTCAGAGCCAACTGTGGTTCACAGTTCAATGTGTGTTTTCACATTTCTGCGCACACACAAACACTCACATGTATGTATGTCGTTTTTGTGTTACAAATAGTCACACACACCTACTCACTGTTTGAATCTTATAGTTTAGAACTTACATCTTGCAAATCTTTCTATGTCAGTACACAGAGGGAGGTTAGGTCTTTACTCTATCATCTTTTTGTGTGTGTGTATTATGGTTTTTAAACATTATTCCAGGGCATCGAAGCTTTGTTTTGAGTGCCTCTTTTTCCAGGTAATTTGAAGGATCTCTACCTGCTCTGGCTCTCAGTATTTACCTTTATAACTTCATGCCGAAGCCTTGTGCTCCAGCTGCATTTGGCAGCGTCTCTTCTTGCTTCTTCTGATAAGGTTGTCACGATGGTTTTTTTCCCCTTTCCTTTCTTCTGTGAACTTTGCCAGCTTGCTTTTATATCCTTTCACTATCTTGCCTCTTTTCTGAGGCTTTTATCTGTTCTTTGAGATCGGAGTTCAGAGAAGCCATATTCTTATTAATACATCCATCACTTTCATCTCTTTGGTGGCATCATTTTTGGATGCATATGTTTTACCCTTAGTTGGTCATGTTTCTTTCCTCCTTTATTTCAGGGTTTTGCCAGGTCCCTGGCCAGGTCTTCCCGGGCAGTCCCTCAATTTTGAAGGTTCTGTGCTTGGTGAGCCAGCTGTGCCCTGACACGTAGTGCTGGGGAGGAGCCGAAGTTCAGTCATCCGACTCTCATTTCTGCCCTCAGGGCCTAACAGTGTGTAGCAGTGAAACCATTAACTACAGTTCCTCATATCATCATCTAGCTTTTTATTTATTTTTAAAATGTTTTCAGTGCTTTTTAAAAAATACATATTTTTATCGATTTCAGAGAGGAAGGGAGAGGGAGAGAGAGATAGAAACATCAACGATGAGAGAGAATCATTGATCTGCTGCCTCCTGCACGCCCCCTACTGGGATGGAGCCTGCAACCCGGGCATGTGCCCTTGACCGGAATTGAACCTGGGACCTTTCAGTCCACAGGCCGGTGCTCTATCCACTGAGCCAAACTGACTAGGGCATATTGCTTTTTTGTAAGAGTGAGAGGAAGGGAGAGGGGGAGAGAAACATTGATGAGAGAGAAACATAATCGATCGGCAGCCTCCTGCACGCCCCCTTCCGGGAATCAAGTCCACAATTTTATTTTAGAGCCAAGGAGAGGGACACCGGGAAGCAACCTGTCCAGCTTTACACAGGTCGCATGCAGCGCGTGCGGGAGGTGGGCTGGCAACCCCAGCAGCCTGCTGTGCGGATGGCGCTTCTGAACCATGTGGCCTGGCCCGGGCCCGCAGTGCTGACACACGGAATACTGCAGCCCAGCTCTCTGGCCTCCCCCATCCTCCAGGCTCTCTTCCAGTCCAGGCCATTCTCACCGCGGCCAGCCAAACCTTTCTGTAACTGCCCTTCCACCCTTCCCTTTCAATAAGGAGGATTCAGGGAATGATAATTTAGTACCCAGAACCACCAGGACGCCTTTTAAGTAAAACCCTCAGTCGCCTGATTTCAAGACCACCACAATCTGACTCGCTCTACCAATCCAAACGCTTCCTCGCTTTTCTTTGCAGAAGAGTTGAATAAAGACGTGCATTTATATCATGTTAACTGTTCCAATAGTTTAGATGTCTTAATGGTCTGCCATCTGGCTTGCCTTGGGAGTTACCTTGAGGTAACCTAAGTGAACACTAGCTTTTCTTTAGAATCTTATCAAAAAGCAGTGACATTTCCCCCATTCGTTTTGTGAGTGGTTTTCCCCTGAGATAAGAGATGTTTGTGGTTGTAGGCCAAGAACCTTTAAGAACCCAGGTGTACCTAGAAAGAGACTATCTGCCCTGGGGGAACTCCTACCCCTTTGGTTCCTCTCTCTCTCTCTCTCTTTCTCTCTCTCCCCCTCTCTCCCTCCCCTTCCCTATCTCCTTACTCCCTTCCACTCTCTCTAAAAATCAATGGAAAAAATATGCTCGGGTGAGGATAACAAAACAAACAAAAAGATATGTTGTTGTTTTTGCGGGGGGACCAATCCTTTGAATTTGGGAAACAGTAGATTCTCTCTTCTAAAGTACTTAGGCTCAGACTTACAGACACTTAGTAACTGTAAGTATTGGGGTGGAGGGGGAGAATTAAAATTTAAAGTCCAAGCTTGCCTTTTGATAACAAAATTAGAAAAAATAAGCCTGTCACCAGTGGGATTGGACTTTGGAGGTAACTGGGCGATGGATCCCTCCTCCATTCCCTACAAAGCCGGATGTCTCATCTGTTGTGTCTGTGAATGGGGTGGTGCCTGTTAAGGGGGAAGGGTTTCACCTGGGCAGCCTACCTGAGCCCCAACTCTGTGATCTCCAAACCATCTTCAGATGGTCCTTTGGACTCCTCTCCTGTTGCTAAGAAGGAAGGTGACCTGGGCTGGGTGCACACACGTTAGTCACTGAAATGAGGTTATCCCGCCCCCCAACTCCGCCCCTGGGTCACTCTTACTGTGTTACTAATAATACTCTGGCTCAGAGAGTGGGCTCAGAACACAGAAAGAGGTTCGAGGGGCTCCCAGTTCTCCCAAGGATGTGCCATGACCACTGCCATTCTAAGGGCCCAGGAGAGCGCGGACCCGCTGCATACAGTGGGTGTTGGGGATCAGGGCTTCAGCCCGTCACAGAACCGGGATGCGAGTCTGTGACCTGGTCAGCCTCCCCAGAGATGAGGCCACTCTGACTCTGTCACTGACAGGACCCCATCTGGGAGGTGCTAGGAACAGCACCCCACCAGGTACAGCCACCCTGTGGGGCCGTCGGGGCAGCCCCTGGCTATGCCTCCTCCCCGATGCCTCTCTCTTTAGAAACTGAGCCCCAATCAGTCTCAGCTTTGAACTTCCCTAAACCCCAGGGCCTCGGTGTCCCTCGTGTGTCCTGACACTTTGGAGCCTCCCTCCAGGAGCCACACAGGCCCGGGGTGCACTCTGTCCCGGCATCCCGCATCCCCTCGGGAATCGTGAACACGGGCAGAGCGGCGCTGAGCTGGGCACTGCCCTCAGCGGGCGCCCGCGCACAGGTAGCAACGTGCTTCCACATGCAGGCCTCAGTTTACACGCGCAGGTTTTTACTGTAGCAGAATCCTACATTATTGCATTCTATGGACTTTTAGGGATGCTTGGAAATAGTAAAAACGAGAGTTAAAATCTGAGACCACCAAAGGTCATGTGGATGATTTCCCCCCTAAAATGGATGCCTTGTTGTTTATTTGGAAATTACTCCAGTTCCATGTCATTGCATTGCCTTGGCACCTCTCCAGACCCCTCCCAGCTCTCGCTCTGCCCTGCCCCCCCCCCAAACTCCAGGCCCCAAATTTCTGCCCTGGGATTTCATGTGCCTGTGGGTACTGTGACCCTCCAGGCCGGGGGGAGAGGACGCTGCTGACTGTCCCATGTGAGGGCCCCACTGGGACCCGCTTACCGTGCCTTCCCTGTGCTCACAGAACACGTTCAGCATCACCGCCAAGAAAGCTGCCCTGGACGTACTGCTGCCCGACGGAAGGAGCATGGAAGTCGAAATCCTCACATCAGACACGGCCGAAAGGGTCCTGGAGGTAAACATCACCTACATGCCAGCCCCAGATGGAAGGCAGGGAGCCTTGTCTGAAGGCAGGGACTAGGACACGGTCACCTTCTGGAAGCTTCCCGCCTACCCTTCCCGCTGGGTGATCTACCTGTGGAGATGCTGGGGTTTTCGGGGAGACTGGCCGAGAACCCGAGCTCCAGCCTGCCCACCAGGCCTCTGCTTTTCCTCTCCCCGTGGGCACCGACTTTCCAGCGTCTCCTAGGGCCTCCCACGCCAGCGGTCAGTCCCCTGGCACTCGGCTGGGGGTGTGCCCCGGGAATACGCCAAGCGCTTTGTTACGGGGTGCTCCGTGGTTGGGGACAGAAGGACAGTGGGGCCCAGGTGAGGCTGCAACAGGCCGCACCCAGGTGGACTGCTGCTGCTGCTGCGACAGGTTCTGGGAGAGAGTGACACGGGCTTCTCAAAGGCAAAACCAGTCGTCCCTCCTCCCTCACAGCGAGAACCCTGAAGCCAGCGGCCCAGCAGGCCTGGTCCTGAGCCAGAGCTGAGTGTGAGTTCGTTGAGGACTCCAGGGTGAGGCCCAGAAAGCACTGGTCCCTCCTCCAGACATGGCCGCGCTCAGCTCTGCCCTGGGCCTGCCCTCCCTCCGAGCTGGGCTGGGGAGGGGACACCATCGCCCCACACCCACACGGTCCCAGGCCCCTTCTCTTTGGAGGGTTTCCGTTCTAGTCCCGCAGGGAGACATTCACACAGAATATGAAGTTATACGCAGGAGGACGTGGGAAGTTTCTAGGGCCAACCGGCCAAAGGCCGGGTAGGATGTTCTTGTGCTGGGGTCACGGCATCTGATGCCTCCTGAGCTGAAATGGACAGAAGTGCTCCCTGCTGGGCTCCCAGCTCTCAGGTAGCCTTTACCTAAGACCTGGGGCACGTGTGTGTGTGTGTGTGTGTGTGTGTGTGTGTGTGTGTGTGTGAAGTTCTCCACATCGTGACTCTTTCTAGCCCAGAGATGCAAGCCTGCTCTCGTCCTCCTGGCCTCAGAAGCTCTTGGCTCTGCCTGGTCACCATCATTGCTAAAGGCACTGCACACACCCCACCCCAGCCTTTTCATGGCACCCACCCAGTGTCTGAGGCCATCCATTGAGAAGTGACCCTCGGCTCCTCCTCCCTCGGCCCTGAACCCTCCTGCACTGTATCCCACATCTCTCTCCTAGTCAGCCCCCTCTCCTGTCTTCTCCTCTGTACCCCACTCCCCTAGTTCAAGTCCTCATCATTCTCATCATTCTCTAGCACCCCCCACCCCCAAATAGTCTCCCTGCTCATCTTCTGCACAGATTTCCAGAATGATCTTCCTTAAAAGCATCAAAGAACTTGAAACTTAATGCTGGAGAGAGTTTATACCAACCCCAAACCACAGTTCCCTCCAGTGCTCTCCCAGGACCTACAAAATGGGAGACAGATAGATCCATAAATGAAGGAGGGTAATGGTGAGGGCGGGGACCGTAAACGCAGATACCTCTGGGGCCGGGCGGGTAACTCAGGCCCAGCCTCAGATGTAAGATAATTTGGAAATGGTTGGGCCTTTGGAGGCCGGGGGAGCACCTGCCCTGCCTGCTAGCATCATTATGGACATGTTTTCACACACGGGGCTCACGGGCCATGCTAGACACACCTGCCGCTGAAGCTGGCTGCCGGTGGGCCAGCCGGGTCTCCTAGGGGCTGGGGTGAGGACAAGCCCTAGATTCAAATGGCCGTGGTGCACGTCAGAGCTGTGTGAGTTTGGGGAAGTCACTGAACCTTTCAAGACTATGTCTGAGTAATTCTAGAAATAGCTCATGTTCCATCAGCAGTGGTGGTTTTGGCTACTGATCATTGGTGGTGGTATCAGTATTAGAGGTAGTGTGAGTAAGTATTGAATTGGGCAGTAAGACTAGGACTCCACAGTATCATCTTTGGATGATACTGCCCCTTTCTCCCTCCTCACTCCTCTGTGTTGACATGTAAGCTTGTGTTGTCACCGAATGAATGAGTCAGAGAAGAGAGAAATCGAATTCGAGTGGACATGGGTCATCTTTACTTCAGGACGAGATATAATCCGTTACCAGCACACTCTCCCCTTCCTTCCCCCCCAGTAGAGGAGTCCTGTGGTTTTGGTTTCGGTTTTCTGCAAGGGCGTGGGAAAGACAGTGAGGGAGAAAGGAGAATGGGAGAATGGGGGTCAGTGCTGGGGAGAAGTGAAAAGTGCCCAGGTTCTTTATTCGCAAGGCGACACGGAGAACACCCACTCCTGCCGCATGGGGGATTTTTGGTGCGGAAAGTCCTGCTTTGAGCCTGGTGTCTACCACTTCCACCGTGAGAACCTGGAGCCGTGGTTGAAGTGTCGGCTCACGCACGGGGCTGTAAAGGCGTGTTAGAGGTGTTCCTGGGGGGTTAGAGGTGACCTAGGGAATTCAGGTGGGGTGTGTAAAGAAATCACTCAGGAGCCCAGTCCTATAGAGCAGTGGTTCTCAACCTTCCTAATGCTGAGACCCTTTAATACAGTTCCTCATGTGGTGGTGACCCCCAACCATAAAATTATTTTCGTTGCTACTTCATCACTGTAATTTTGCTACTGTTCTGAACCGTAATGTAAATATCTGATATGCAGGATGTATTTTCATTGTTACAAATTGAACATAAAACACAGTGATGAATCACAAAAACAATATGTAATTATATATGTGTTTTCCGATGGTCTTAGGCGACCCCTGTGAAAGGTTGAGAACTGCTGCTATAGAGGCAGCGGGCGGGCTGGTGGGTGGGGATGGAAGTTCCTGCTAAGCGAACATTGCGGCCTTGTGACCCTTGGTAAAAACGCACCCATTGGTGTCGACATGAAAGCCCTTTGATGTGAAGGTCAAAAAGGAATATGAAATGAGGGAGCTCTTGTCTGGGATACAAGATTTCACTGTGCAAACCCCATGCAACTTAGACTTGAACTTCACTGGAGGCATCAGAGAGAAGCAGGCCTGGGGTACCAAAGACTCGTAGCTCATAGAAGTGGGGGCAGCCAAGAAGTGGGGACTCTCCCTCTCCCCGATATCTGGTAATTCAGCCCACAGGAAGGTAAATGTCCCGGGACAGATCTTCGTGGAGAGTGAGTGCTGCCCTCCAGTGGACAATAAAGTCCAAACAATGACCCGGGAGGCACGCCCACACCTGACATGGGACAACCAGCCTCAGCTCTGTCCATTGTGGTGGGAGGTGGGACAGATTTATTTTTTCTTCTTCACTCTATATGTTTTTTTAAAATTTCTAGATTTTCTAAAACAAGTGCATACCATTTTAGATACTTATGATTTAGATTCTTTAGATGCTGGTATTTTATGAAAATAAAATGTTGTTTTTTGAATTAACTTTAGAAAGCTAAAAATTACATACAAATGCAAGAGAATATTATTATTATGATCCTTTACTCTTTCCAATAGGAAACATTTCTTTTAAGGTCTGCTAGCCCATTAAAGAGCTTCTTATTGTGTTTACAGGCAATTTCAAATTCTGCACATCACAGGAAACGTGGTTGGACACTTCTAACTTTTACCCCTTTTTCTTGTCTTTGGTTAAAGGTGGTGTCACACAAAATTGGACTGTGTCGGGAGCTCTTGGGCTACTTCGGCCTCTTTCTCATTCGGTTTTGCAAGGAGGGCAAGCTCTCTGGTAAGCGCAGAGGGAATGCCACGGAGGCAGGTGCTCAGCCCAGAGATGCAGGAGCACAGCTGAGGGGAGGGCACCCCTCAGGGGAAGTCTCAGTGTGTGGGCCTGCTGGTCTCCACTCCTGGACGGGAAGTTTGGGGGTGAGAGGTTGTGTCTGTGCTCAGGGTGAGCTGGAGTCACGTAGCCCTGAGAGGTGGCATGGACAGGAGCAGGAAGTCGGGTCTTTCCAGGGACTGTACTTCCCCTTGTGCCTGCCCCAGTCCCAAGCCAATGTCTGTCTCACCTTTACCCACGCGCCCTGTGCTGACCTCAAGACACCCCAGAACCCCCTTCTGAATGGAGTGCAGGGCTCTAGGCATCGGGACATCTCATCCCACCATCGTTTCTCCTTGTCAAGGAATATTTGCTAACAAGTCCAGCTGACACAACTAAGTTCTTAGATTTTTAAAAAAGTTATAACAAGAGAGTAAAAGACGACAGTCCCATTCACATAGCCTTTGCTTTCTCTACAGTGCATGTCTAGATACTGCAAGATTTTTAGTCGTGAAATGCTATAGATCAGTGGTTCTCAACCTTGGCTGCACATTAGAATCATCTGGGAATCTTTTTAAAATACTGATTTCTGGGCCTCATCCTCCGGAAATTCTGTTTCTTTGTTACTAATGTTGTGGCCTCACCCCATAACAAAGAAACAGAATTTCCGGAGGATGAGGCCCAGAAATCAGGATTTTAAAAGATTCCCAGGTGATTCTAATGTGCAGCCAAGGTTGAGAACCACTGCTATAGATTCTCTCAGAGTTTTTTACATTTGTCCTCGAGAGGCCGCGGGGAGGTGGCTCGCAGGTGAAGTTAAGGGCTCTGGATTGTGGTGTGCTGGCAAGGGCACCGGGCCTCTCTGGACTGCAGTCTCTCCATCTGCATCCCAGGGTAACAGAGAGCTCACTCAAGATGCTGGTATTTTATGAAAATAAAATGTTGTTTTTTTGAATTAACTTTAGAAAGCTAAAAATTACATACAAATGCAAGAGAATATTATTATGATGATACTTTACTCTTTCCAATAGTAATGCTTTATGTTCTCATGTTAAAGCCCTGGATGTAAAATAAACTACCTGTGCTCTCTTAACCAGTCAGATGCCCCTTCCCCTCTCTCTAGTCATGAAAAAATTAGCGGAATTTGAACTCCCTTATGTGAGTCTCCGAAGTTCTGAACTGGAAAACTGCAAGGTCGGACTCCGGAAGTGGTGAGTAGGCGTTGTGACGTCAGCATTCGAGGCTCTTCTGCCGCGGCTGATCAGAACTGGCCATCCTCACCTGTCGGCTCACAGCCCCACCGCGAGCCAGAGACCAGGGGAGCTTGGAGAAGGCAAGGAGGAAAGCAGTGAAGAAGACAGAGAGGGGGATGACAAGACGGTTTGTCCTCAAGGAAGGGTGTGGGGGATGATTTTCACTGGTTTCAAGTAAGTACTCGAGGGGTATTACATGAAGGTGGTGGCCATGAAGGGCAAGCTTGAACAAGAAGGGCCGCTGGGGTTGGGACTGAAACAGGTAATGGCAGGAAATTACTGACTCTATTGACTGAAGGAATTGGTTGAGGATTGCAAGCAGATCACTTCATCTGTTAAACTGTGGTACAGTGGGGCCTTAACTTACAAGTTTAATTCGTTCTGAGACCGAGCTCATTAAGGAGCTCGTTAACTCAAATTACTCTGTCAACTCAATGCAAAAAATTGGCTGAGAGACAGCTGGTATCTCAAAAGACTCGTTAGTCGGGACACTCGTAAGTCAGGGCCCCACTGTATTCCCTGAAGGCCAAGGGTGGACTCAGCCAACTTGCAGTGCATCTGAACTCTAAGTGGTCGGCTTACATTCCTAAAGGATTTCAACAATACACGCTTATAGACCAGGATCAGCTGTGTTCCTAGATCAATAGGGCACCTGGCAGAAAATGCTACCGTTTCCCCCAGAAACAGAGGGCCCTATAGAGAGTGAACAAACAGAAGAAAAAAGAAGCAGGACGCTCCCCTAACCCACCCCGACACATAACCTATAACCTGTAGTCACTACCAAGGCCGTATTGGATTGCATCTTTGATTCACTCTCTCCCAGCTCAGTTATTCTGTAATCTGAGCACAGAAGCTTGAAAGAAAGGCATTTTGAAATCTAGGAATAGTCGTTACCTTGACCTGGTGTTGCCCTGTGAGAACTCTGGTCTGCGGTTTTGAATTTTGGAAACATAGTCCCAGCAAGGCTAGAAGTTCATGTACGGTTATTCAGAAGTATTCTGAGAAACGGTCAAAATCTGGAACGCTGAGAAGGGAGAAGGAAAAACCCTTAGCAGTTCCATCTAAGGGTTTATCGAGTAGCTGTTCTTCTGGAAGCTGTGTAGTATAACGAGTGGCTGAGCACAGTTACTCCTGGGGTCACAGGATGGGAATCTAAGTCTCAACTGTCTCAGGATTTAGCCAAAAAACCTTAGCCAAATCATTTAAGCTCTCTAAGACTCCGTTTCTCTATCTGTAAAATGGGAATAATAGTAATAGAGTCTACCTCATAGGATTATTGTGAGGGTTAAATAAAATGATCCCATATGCTCCATACCTTTTGGCCTTGCTTGTTATTGTTATCTTGAGGATAATAATAATGACAGCAACAACAATGCCTGGGGCTTAGACTTGTTGCTCATGAGCTCTTCAGAGAGCCTGAGATCAAAGGAGAGATGAGGACTCTGTCCCTCACCTTGAAGCTTGAATAGAACATTGGGCTTTGCCTATGTCTTCGTTCAACAGGCAAATTCTATCTAGATCCTAAGCGCAAGATAAAATGTCTGCCTACAAGCCAGCATCTCACATCCGGGCATATTGCCTTTGCTCTTGGGAACTGGGAGGAAAGGAGGTCTCACTCCAGTTGTTAGAGGTGAGGATCAGGTCACCAGACTGGGGGAGCCTGGCGCAGGATCCTGCTGGTGCCCGGTCCACTTTGGGGGTGAAGTCTTGCAGGATGGGGGCAGGAAGGCGAGCTCTGTTGCCGGGAGCTGTGGGATTCCCAGCAGGCGAGCCTGGCGGTGAGGCCTCATCAGAGTCTTAGGGATTCTCCTCTGCCCATGAATTCCCTGGTGCACCTCTCCACGGAGGACATGGTCCCTTCCAGACCAGAGGATGCCCGCCCTGGCCTCTCCGAGCCCCGGGGTGGGATGGGTCGGGGCTCTCTAACTCTCTGATGTAACAGTTGCCCCCGGGATGCATGAGCGAAATAGTAGCTTCTGAGTAGGAATGCTTCAGCTGCTTGGCCCAGGCCCAGAATGAAGTTGATCTTCAAGGAGGATTGCCATCCTTTTCCTCGTCTAAGCCAGTCCCGTCGTCTGTTCGCCCTGCACATCTGAGTGCTGGGGCTCTGCTCACCTCTGCCCTTACCCTCTTCTGACTTCCTGTCGGTTCTTAGCCTGCGACTGTGCTTAGACAGTGACTGTCATTGCCGTTCATCCTGCGGACTCTGGATCTGTTAGTCGGACGCGGAGCCCTGCTGTTTGCAGGTCACTTTGCCCAGGCCCAGAGGGGCAATTCTGAGGAGGACCCAGGCCCTGGGCTCAAGGGTCCTCACACTTGTTATCAAGATCAGCTTGAGCCCTAACCGGTTTGGCTCAGCGGTTAGAGCGTCGGCCTGCAGACTCAAAGGTCCCAGGTTCGATTCCGGTCAGGGGCATGTACCTTGGTTGCGGGCACATCGCCAGTGGGGAGCGTGCAGGAGGCAGCTGGTCGATGTTTCTAACTCTCTATCCCTCTCCCTTCCTCTCTTTAAAACATCAATAAAATATATTTAAAAAAAGGATCAGCTTGATCAGAGCAGTGATCAGGATGAACTCGGGGTGCGGAGAAAGCACAGAGGAGGGGACCTGAGGGTGAGGCTCTCCAGGAGGAGCAGACAGGTCAGGGTGGAGGTTGGTGAGGCCAGTGGCCTTCCAGGCAGAGGGAGAGGAGAGAAAAGGTGGTTGGGCTGGAGAGGGTCGGGGAGGGGAGGGGGTAAGAGCTGGAGCTGGAAATGAAAGCTGGGGTCCTATGGAGGGCCTCGGAGGGGAGCAGGACAGATGACCTGACTTCTGGCTAGGAGGGTCTCAAAGGTTACCCAGGAGAGACCGCTCCTGTTAGAATGTGGAGCGTGAAATGAGGGAACACGACTGAGGCAGAAGGTCTGGGGGAGGAGGTTACCAGAGCAGCTCAGGCAAGAGAGGAGGGTGGGTGGCCTGGGCACCGGGGGGGTGGGGGTCATACGGATGTGGGTCCGGGCAAGTGAGAGCGCCGGGTATTGAGGGTGG